CAGAACCGGAAGCAGGCTCCACTCTGGGCTGTCAGCACAGAGCCATGCGAGGCTTGAACTCAGGAGCTGTGAGATCATGACCCGAGCTGAAGTCAGACACTTAACCTACTGAGCCACCCAGGTGCCCCTGAAATGACTTTGGTTTTTTTTTGTTTTTTTTTTTGTTTTTTTTGGCATAAATGAGCATACGACAGAGTTGGGTCTTCGACACTTTCTTTAGAACAATGTCCTAAATTTTCTGGATAAAACACTTCTGAATATGTTCTTAAATGGATCAGTGTTAAGAAATTAGGTGTGAGATAATAGAAAATACATAAACTCCCCCAGTTCCTGGCACCTAGCGCCTAAAACCCTTAAGAATTCCTAAGTGAACAGGGGCACTTGGATGGCTCAGTTAAGTGTCCTACTTCTGCTCCTGTCAGGTTCTCTGTGAGTTTGAGTCCCGCATCTGGGCTCTGTGCTGACAGCTTGGAGCCTGGATTCTGTGTCTCCTTCTCTTCTTACCCCTCCCCTGCTCATGCTCTGTCTCTGTCTCTCAAAAATAAATAAACATAAAAAAAAAAAAGAATTTCTAAGTGATCACAGCACTTAGAGGATCTTTTGTTCTAATGAGGTGGGTGGCTCTTGGATGCTGTGGGTGGGATCCTGGATGGGGGCTGCTCATTAGGAAGGCCAAACCACCTTTAGAGCTTGGAATTTTCAGCCCTTCCTCCCATTCTTCAGAGAGAGAGAGAGAGGAGGGGGCTGAAAGTGGAGGTAATGATCAATCAGGCTTACATGAGGAAGCCTCCTTAAATAGCCCAGTAGTATAGTGTTCAGAGAGCTTCCCGGGGAGAGAATACACCCACAGTCAGCTCCCCGCGGGACAGAAGCTTCTGTACAGAAGCTTCCCACACACACATACACACTGGGCCTATGTATGTCTTCATCTGGTTGTCCATGTGTATCCTTCATCATCCCCTTAAAGAAAGTGGTAAGTAAGTGTTTCCCTGAGTTCTGTGAGCCACTCTAGCAAATAAAGTGGTGTGGGAGTAGTCTTGTGTGGCTGAGCCCTTAACCTGTGGGATCTGACATATCTCTGGTAGAGTTAGATTTGGGTAAATTGTAGGACACCCAGCTGGTGTCAGAGAATGGCTTCAGGGGGCGGGCGTAGGACCCTCACACATCTGGTGTCAGAAGGGTTGTGAGTGCGATAGTTGTGTGAGAGCAATGGACACATAGGAAAAGATGGGTTTTTCCAAAATACTAAGTAATATTCAGATTAAAAACGAAGTTAATGGCAGGATCCTGTGTTCAAAGGTAGAACACCAAGGCAAGCTTTCATCTTAAACACGCAGAACCAAATTAACATAGGTTAGTTTTCTTTTTTTTTTTTTAATTTTTCAAAAATGTTTTTATTTCTTTTTGAGATACAGAGAGTATGAGTGGAGGAGGGGCAGCAAGAGGGAGACACAGAATCTGAAGCAGGCTCCAGGCTCTGAGCTGTCAGCACAGAGCCTGATGCGGGGCTGGAACTCACGGACTGTGAGATCATGACCTGAGCCGAAGTCAGACGCTTAACCGACTGAACCACCCCGGCGCCCCCATAGGTTAGTTTTCAAGTCCTCACAGGGTACAGAAAGAAGACAGGAATGCAACCCCAGGCCCAGCCCAAGGTGGGAAGTCCAGTGGAGACTACCTCACAGAGTGGATACCCCAAAGGGTATCCTGCCTGCTCTTAAGGGAGATAACAAGGAAAACTTGATATTCTCGAATCTTGACGCTAAGCTGGGGAAAAGGGGAATCTCCTCTAGCACTGTCTTGTTTTATTTTGATGGTAGTTGATGAGGGAGCCTGGGGCGAGCTGAGGGCAAAACACAGGCTGGCACCTACACCCCCCTACCCCCAGGTGGGTGATATGTGATATTCCTCGGACACTCCTGTGTTTAAAGAACACCAAGGGGGGGCGCCTGGATGGTTCAGTCGGTTAAGTGTCCGACTTCAGCTCAGGTCACGATCTCGCGGTCTGTGAGTTCGAGCCCTGCGTCGGGCTCTGGGCTGATGGCTCAGAGCCTGGAGCCTGTTTCCAATTCTGTGTCTCCCTCTCTCTCTGCCCCTCCCCCGTTCATGCTCTGTCTCTCTCTGTCCCAAAAATAAATAAATGTTAAAAAAAAAAAAAG